GTGAGTGAGTGAGTGAGTGAGTGTGTGTGTGTGTTCACCTGGCGTCTGTCCTCTGGGGTTTTGAGGAACAGGGCGTTGATGAGGGCGATGGCGTACGTCTGGATCTCCTGATTGGACCTGCAGGGATGATCGTACACACACACACAGTTAGAGGTATCTTGTTCTTGGATTCCAGCACTTCTGGACTCTAGATCATGTGTCACTGTCTCATGTCTCCAGCAGACAGGAGCTCAACCTCAGGAGACGAGAGGGCCACGTTCAACCGGCATCACTGCCACCATCACTGAAGGCACAAAACGATTTTAATGATGAGCTCTTGAAGTAAATAATTAAAAGTGTCATGAAATACAGAATTAAAATGTTCTTGATATTTACACATATAAGAAGTTTCTCTACAATAAAAATATACTGCAAGTTTCAGAAGTCAAAACCAACTCCCCAGTTAAAATAAACTGAAACTGAAATCAAATACTGAATACGCGTCATGGACGTATGTAATCAAGAAGAGTGTTCTGAACAACTCGTGTCTGTTACTCAATCACAGGAGCGATACTGCTGCTGGATGAAGATGTCGGGTCTAATGTGTAGGGACCTGATGACGGCAGATGGGGACGTGGATGTAACTGCAGGAGTTTTAATGAAAGAAACAAAATGACAACCAGGAACAACAGCAACTGACAAAGCAACAAGGGAAACACAAGGGCTATATATATTTCTGTCATGACAACTCTCGGAGGGATTGGCATGGTAATGTACATGACAATGTTAATGTATTTGGTCTTGGCGGAATAGATCTGCTACGCTGCTGCTGCTGCTGCGGCAGAGCAAGTACTGAGACTGGCTACTGCCAATACATCCACAACATGCTGCTGTGAGCATGTAAGAAATATTGCTGCTGCACATATAACATACATGAAATAACCCCCATATAGCATACATGAATCACCTCGTAGCAGATCTATACAGGTGGAGCTGGGGAAGGTGGAGGGTTTCTGAAGCAAGCTGCAACTGCTACGGCAAGCACTAGTCATATATTTGAATGTTGAGCAGCGAGCTCATTGGCTACCGATACAGGAGAGAACCAATCAGCTGTGCCACGTGATAATGATGTCATTAGGTCAGATTGAGTTAGGCCTATCGGACTGCACCATCTAGAGTTTCATGCCAGAACTCTGTATTTCTGTCATGACAACTCTCAGAGGGATTGGCATGGTAATTTACATGACAATGTTAATGTATTTGGTCTTGGTGGAATAGATCGGCTACGCTGCTGCTGCGGCAGAGCAAGTACTGAGACTTGCTACTGCCAATACATCCACAACATGCTGCTGTGAGCATGTAAGAAATATTGCTGCTGCACATATAACATACATGAAATACCCCCCCACAAAGCAGGAGACATAAAAGGGACAATACAAGCTAAAACAAGAACAAAACACTCCCCCAACAAGCAGATCTATCACCAATTCATATGTACTGCTGCTGCTCCGAAGAGCCATGTGAACCGCATGTATTACTATCAATATGTGAGCCTGGGCTACCACACCGACAGCCTTAACAATAGTGGCCTATGACTATATGAGCCTTGGCTACCACGCCGACCGACTTAACAATAGTGGCCTATGACTATGTGAGCTTTGGCTACCACGCCGACCGGCTTAACAATAGTGGCCTATGACTATGTGAGCCTTGGCTACCACGCCGACCGGCTTAACAATAGTGGCCTATGACTATGTGAGCCTTGGCTACCACGCCGACCGGCTTAACAATAGTGGCCTATGACTATGTGAGCCTTGGCTACCACGCCGACCGGCTTAACAATAGTGGCCTATGACTATGTGAGCCTTGGCTACCTAGCCGACCAGCTTAACAATAGTGGGCTATGACCATGTGAGCCTGGGCTACCACGCCGACTGGCTTAACTCTAATTAGACGCGCACTATGTGTAATATTGAATGAACAAAATGGATATACGTTGCAATCTGATAGATAAGACCCCAGCACCCACCTGAGCAAATATAATAATTTAGTCATTTGATAACTGCTGTTACTTTCTCCACTTCATCAATCCCAGTGGCAGTGTAACAGCTAGTTAATTCATGTTTGTGCAATGATGAGACGGACAAAGTTAGTTGATGCATGCTATTTTACTCTCTTGTGCAGATAAAAGTTGACAACGTTACAGTGCACAAAACCCCTGGGTGGACTGACCTGAATTAACTGAAAAAATCAGAATATAAATGTTCTTTCTCCGTTTTCTGAATTACACTGCACAGCGAGAGCACATGTCGCATGAGCACATTTCTCCGAACAAAAGTCTGAAACTGCATTTCATGACCCCTATAACTGCCTAATATTCTTGTGATATTTTGTGGCCCATCAGAGGTCAGAGGCATGGAGCACCTGTCAGTGCGTGAGTGTGTGTGTGTGTGTGTGTGTGTGTGTGTGAGAGTAATCTGATAGATAAGACCCCAGCACCCACCTGAGCAAATATAATAATTTAGTCATTTGATAACTGCTGTTACTTTCTCCACTTCATCAATCCCAGTGGCAGTGTAACAGCTAGTTAATTCATGTTTGTGCAATGATGAGACGGACAAAGTTAGTTGATGCATGCTATTTTACTCTCTTGTGCAGATAAAAGTTGACAACGTTACAGTGCACAAAACCCCTGGGTGGACTGACCTGAATTAACTGAAAAAAATCAGAATATAAATGTTCTTTCTCCGTTTTCTGAATTACACTGCACAGCGAGAGCACATGTCGCATGAGCACATTTCTCCGAACTACACTACCCATAATGCATTTCATTCGGAACTGACTGTTACAGCCGTAGATAGTGATCTTCAGGGTCTCCCGCAACACTGTCATTGATATGACTGCGATAAGCGTGTGCTTCTGACGCTGCATGCAGCTGAAATCAACCACACACTCATCACAATGAAAACATCGACCTTAGAAATAACGAACGTGAACACTGGGATAATCTCCGATGTATATGGTGAACCCCCATTGAAATGCATACACAAGAATGCTTATTTCATTTAACCTGTTTCATGTCCGTTACTATCGACGTGTGCTCAGAGCGATTACATATGCTCCAAACTGCATTTTGCTCCAGCTGTATAAACACTGATTAGATGGAAAAGCTGCCCATAACTCCTGGTCTAGGATCTGTTTTCTTCTTTCTTTATTCAGAATTTAAATAAAAGGTTTTTCATGCTTGACAAGCGGCCACGTACGACACAGAGATAGCTAACTACTACACTATATAGAAAAAGATAATAGCCTAATTTCAGAAGAACAAAGAGATGCGATTCTGCAACCGAGCCTGGTCCAAACGCAGGATTTAGGTAAGGAAACGGTTATTAATTATTTGTATTGGCTGCCATGCCAAATCCTGCACCTGCTTGCTTTCTGTTTAATTTAAGTGTTTTTGTGAACGTATATGCTTTAATTACATGTACATTCAGTACATGTAATACTATTAAGACACCAGGCGTATCACTGTATGAGTGTTGCTAACAAAATCAGTACGTACCAACATATGACAAGTAATAAAAGACCTTTTAAAACGATATGCTGAAAATGAAGCAATTACAATGATGAAACAATGCTGTAGGTGCGTTTTTTTCAGTTTCTTCTGTCTTGGGCTCTGTGATGAGTGGGGGCGGGGCCGAGAGCCGTGGGAACGGAGCGAGTAATTGATAATGAGTGACACCTGCACCACCTGCACCACTCACCGGTCTCGAGTCCCATGGAGGAGCTCCGGAAGGATAAAAGGAGGCCTGGTCCTCTCTCCTTTTTCACTGTCGTAGCTCCTCCTTTTATCCTTCCGGAGCTCCTCCGTGGGACTCGAGACCGGTGAGTGGTGGAGGTGTCGCTCATTATCAATTACTCCACCGGCCTCGCTCTGTTCCCACGGCTCTCGGCCCCGCCCCCACTCATCACAGGCTCAAACATATATGGCTCTCTAACAGCGCCTGCCATCTCGAGTATCAAACACACTGTAAAATAGAGCGTGGATGCGGTTAGACAATAACCTCATCACAGGTTTCACAGCTTTGCTCCCCCCATGGACATCCCTGTGCCCCCACTCCGGACAGAGGCGGACGGCCGGACTTTAGTTTTGTGTGTAAAATAGTCTAACTGATTAGATGGAAAAGCTGCCCATAACTCCTGGTCTAGGATCTGTTTTCTTCTTTCTTTATTCAGAATTTAAATAAAAGGTTTTTCATGCTTGACAAGCGGCCACGTACGACACAGAGATAGCTAACTACTACACTATATAGAAAAAGATAATAGCCTAATTTCAGAAGAACAAAGAGATGCGATTCTGCAACCGAGCCTGGTCCAAACGCAGGATTTAGGTAAGGAAACGGTTATTAATTATTTGTATTGGCTGCCATGCCAAATCCTGCACCTGCTTGCTTTCTGTTTAATTTAAGTGTTTTTGTGAACGTATATGCTTTAATTACAAATAATTGTAACATTTTACAATAAGGTTCCATTAGTTAATGTTAATTAATGTATTAAAGTGTTAGTTAATTATTGTAAAGTGTTACTCAAATAATGTATTTTACTTTCAAGCATTCACTTGAAAGTAAGCGCAACCCCCAAGAAATATAAAAGCCCCCCCAAGTCGTGTGTCCTGGCGCCGGGCCTGTAGACAATCAGAGTGTAGCGTGTGAGTCTACTTCCATTTCTGCAAGAGCCCCTTCAAACTCAGTGTCTTTCACAGATTGAAAATGAGGATGAAAAATTATCATTTTATATTGGACCTTTTTAGTGCAGAAAACTTAGCAAACTACATCGAGAAACATACTCTAAAAGTCTGAAACTGCATTTCATGACCCCTTTAACTGCCTAATATTCTTGTGATATTTTGTGGCCCATCAGAGGTCAGAGGCATGGAGCACCTGTCAGTGCGTGAGTGTGTGTGTGTGTGTGTGTGTGAGTGTGTGTGTGTGTGAGTGTGTGTGTGAGTGTGAGTGTGTGTGTGTGTGTGTGAGTGAGTGAGTGAGTGAGTGTGTGTGTGAGTGAGTGAGTGTGTGAGTGTGTGTGTGAGTGAGTGAGTGAGTGAGTGTGTGTGTGAGTGAGTGAGTGTGTGAGTGTGTGTGTGAGTGAGTGAGTGAGTGAGTGTGTGTGTGAGTGAGTGAGTGTGTGAGTGTGTGTGTGAGTGAGTGAGTGAGTGAGTGTGTGTGTGAGTGAGTGAGTGTGTGAGTGTGTGTGTGAGTGAGTGAGTGAGTGAGTGTGTGTGTGAGTGAGTGAGTGTGTGAGTGTGTGTGTGAGTGAGTGAGTGAGTGAGTGTGTGTGTGAGTGAGTGAGTGTGTGAGTGTGTGTGTGAGTGAGTGAGTGAGTGAGTGTGTGTGTGAGTGAGTGAGTGTGTGAGTGTGTGTGTGAGTGAGTGAGTGAGTGAGTGTGTGTGTGAGTGAGTGAGTGTGTGAGTGTGTGTGTGAGTGAGTGAGTGAGTGAGTGTGTGTGTGAGTGAGTGAGTGTGTGAGTGTGTGTGTGAGTGAGTGAGTGAGTGAGTGTGTGTGTGTGTGAGTGTGTGTGTGTGTGAGTGTGTGTGTGTGTGAGTGTGTGTGTGTGTGTGCGTGCGTGTGTATGTGCTCACACTTGCAGGTGTGTGATGAGCTGTGCCACAGTGGTCTCCTGCGCCACCCGCTGGTACAGGCTGTGGCTGTTCAGCACCATGCTCTCCAGGATGGCCAGTGAGCGCTGCAGAATGGACACGTCCACCATGGGCTGGTTCACGTAAGCCGCGATCTGTCACACACATCACTGACAGCATCATTCTTTTGTAACATATTACTGAATCTGAATACTTTGGAATAATTAAGGTAAGGGGCATATTAACTTTGATGCTTATGTTAACCACCTAAATAAAAATGGGTGGCATGAATGCAATTAAAACAATTATAAATGCATAAATAAATGTTATGAGATTAATGTTTTAAATATAAAATTTTCAACACAGAAATGTGAAATGGTGAAAATACAAGAGCAGTGTTGGCAATGTATAAACAATTATAAATATTAAAATGTGCTTGATGATTTTACATTAACAGCATAACAGTGTTTGGAAGCTCACTGGAAGCCACGGAATAAAAAAAGTTACTACGTGACTTTTTATCTCACAATTCTGACTTTTTTTCTTGTTTTTTTCCCCCTTTTTTCTCAGAATTATGCATTTTTCTCTTATAATATTTATGAGTGCCATTTTATATCCCAGTATTGGTTTATATCACAATGTAGGCATTTTTCCTGGGAAGTGTATGAATATAATATGTACTAAAAAATGGTAGCATCTCAATTAACTGGTTTTATTGAAGTCAAAAATATTATTTAGTATCTATTTATTTATTTATTTTTAGAACTGCAGAGTTGCAAAAAAAGTCAGAGAAAAAAGTCAGAATTCTGTGTTTAAATCTCGCAATTCTGACTTTGCGAGTTCATATCTTTCAATTGTGTTTATCTCGAAATTCCGACTTTTTAAGGCAAGGCAAGTTTATTTATATAGCACATTTCATACAAAATGGTAATTCAAAGTGCTTTACATAAAAGAAAGTAAAATAATCATAAACAATAATCACAAAAATAAAACAAAGGAATTTAATAACTTTGAAAAGGATTTAAAATGAATTTAAGACCGTTAAAAATAGAAAATGATTATACATAAAATACATAAGATACTGGTATCGGTATTGGGCCCGATACAACGCTCCTGTACTCGTAAAAATGCCCCGATACTACACAGCGTATGAATAGAGCTGTGTCCAGAAAAAGAAACGCAGACATCAGAACAACAGAGAGTAGAATGGAGTTATTAGAGATTAAGGATGTCTATGAAGTACATGTAAGTAATTAATATAATGTTAAACATTCAATATTCACGCCTGTATAGCGGATGTATGCGAGCTAATAAGCAGAGTGTGCTGAGTGGATTGAGCGCGCGGCTGCACAGATGCGTGAGCTTGTCGAGTGAATATCTCACAGACATCACTGGAAGGTTTGTAGTTCGGTCGGATATATCAAAAGCAAGTAAGTAAAATAATGCAAAACTTACTAAAGTGATTTGATGGTAAGGAGAGAGAGAGTGAGAGAGCGCGCACTTCTGTTGCATGATCTTGATTGCTGTTCGCTCCATTAGTGCATGCATTTGGATTTAGACTAAATCGTAAATATAAAACAAACAAAAATGATAGGGGCAATCACTATAAACAACATTTATTTTAAACGTCAAGCTTACACAACTTTAAACTAGCAGACTGGGTGAAAAGCGCTAGGCTATAAGTGTCTCTCTCATTCTGCACCAATACAAACCTGTGTGCACTGCGGATGTTTAGCTTGCTTTAAAGCTCAAAGTATACTTCAGTTTTTACTCATACGCGAGGGTCCGTGTACACTGCGTGTGATGCAAATTACATCACCAAAATAGTACGCGTATAATGTATAGCGAGTGGTTCCCTGCATTATTTTAGGAAAACGTTTTGTGATTACAGTATTGAGCAGCTCTAATGCACCATTAAAATGAACAGTAACAAAAACTTATACAATACATTTTAACAGGTATAATTAAGTGTGGAAATAACTGAAGGTAATATCTGTTTGCTAAATGAAGCCAACTAACATGATTCATATTATTATTAGTAGTAGTAGTATTTTGTTTCTGTACCCAATATTTAAAAAAAAAATTACAAATGCTGTGAAAATA